TCGTAGCTACTCCCTTAATAAGGAAGATTTTAGTTTGAAATTTTCACCGCCTCTTTAAAAACGGACCCTGAGTATCCAGGCACAATTGCATTCGAACTTTTTGAGCGCGTCATTACACAATTTCCCATGGACAGCTCTTAGTCAGATTTTCAAACCCAACGGTAAAATAACCTTGTGAAACCCCCAATGCCCATACATCGTGTTAGAAGCAGCAGGGGAACCAAAGGCCAAATGATTTTCTATCTGTGTATCAGTTAGTCGGGGGTCTTCAGCTGAAATTTGTTGGGCTAACTCAATATTTTCTTGTGTGACAGCAGTTGCAGGTCCACCCGGTCGGGAATCAATGGAGGTTCCGCGGCGTTTGAATTAACGGAACCACTTAGAAACGGCAAAAATTTTAGGAGCTTTGTCACCCGTGCCTCCACCTGACGCTCGTGGGATTGTTTGAAATCCAGTCCTACTCGCAGATCATAGATAATCATTCATCTAAAACCTTCACGAGTGTGCTCCGTCTTCAAATCTTAAAGACACAATAACTGCATCAGGAAAACTAGCACAACATTTCAAAATCTTGAGGTACAGTCACGAAAAGTGACAGCTAGCCTCCACATAAAAATATAGGCGCTAATATTTCTAGGACTCTAAGCCTATGCATTCCAGAGCAGTTACGAATTTCGTTAGTACGTTGCGGCCTTCTATCCTAGTATGAAAATTTTCATTCACACAGCTCAACAACTAAGAATAATTTTAGCCAGATTTCTTCTGCCAAAATTTGATCTACATTTCACGATGGAATATACTGTATATACATTAAAGAGATGATGAGACACAGCGTGCTACACCTGCCAGTATGGGCAAAATATAAATTAGTTCGACATAAGTAAAAAAAATATGGTAGGAACCATGAAAGATCGAGAAAGGTGAAACACGTGGAAATAAAACAAAGTTTCATTTCATAATTTAAAATATAGTCATGACAAATGGATTTGGCAATCAAGGAAGCACTTCTACAAAGATCAAATTATCGGTAACGGTGTCAACATTAGTTTTGGCTTGCTTCGGTTAATTGATAACCTAAACCTTTAACGAATCCTTCGAGCGAACTCGCGAGCAGGCAGGCGTGTATACAGTATGCCCATGCGTGAATACTGGCTCTGGAAGTAGTCGCCCGACTCGATGGAATGTCTGTCCCTAAGATTGTTTATTGGCATACCATAGGCAAGCTCGATAGGGAATCAACGTCGACAAAGATCGAACGGTATGCTGACGTCGAATAACGTGTCCAGTGAAACACTTGGCAACAAATGGACGCTGTCACGAAGCGCACCCGTCATCACCTCAACTTGTAAGACGTTTGCGTTCGCGTCTCTCACGATCATATGCATTTCGTTGCACAGGCTGTTCCCAATCGAGAGATTCAGCAAAAGCATTAGAATATGCTCCTATTTATAAGGTTTAGGGCGTGGGGAGGGAGACACTTGTGATTTAGAGTGACGAGGAATTCAAGTGATAAGTCGACCTGCCGATCGGCACCATTATCACCATGATCATTCTTCACGGTGTCGATACTGTGATAAGTACGCATTTCGACTTTCAACGGAGACATCACATCCTCGTTGACAAAACGGAAGTGAGACACAGAATGGCGCGCCTGCTGCTTTTGTTTGAGCGGAGACGGAGACGGAGGCGGCTATTGATAGCCGCCTCCGTCTCCGCTCACTGACTCCCCAATTAAACTCAAACAAAAGCACATGTCGGAAATGTTCTTTTTTTCCACTTGACATTCCATAATTTCTAACCTGTAACTAAAAAAAAATTATTCAAATCAAAAAAATTAAAAAACGATCTGAAAGAGCAAGTTTAGGGTTTTAAAATGATGTATAAAATATTATGAAAATTCCGTTTTTCTTGGACAAACTTCCATTAGAAAGAAAACGCTACGAAATTATGCACCAACCCAATACAATCGTTCGGTAAAAGCTCGGAGGGCTCAGATCGACCGCCCAATACTCGTGGATGTGTTCCGCTGCCCACATCCAGCAAAACGAATTCCGTTTGCAGCAGCACTCGTTTTCTGTCAAACGAATCGTTCGGAACAATGGCCACAACCGGCTCATTTTGATGTAAATCTCGACGATTTGACCGAGAGATGCTTTACGGACGACCGGCAGCACTTCACGAAAGTCACCCCCGCACAACTACTTTGCCATGAAATGGACGGTCTTCGTCCTTCGAGTCTCACAACGTCCGATCGCAAAGCAGCGATCATTGGCAGCGCTTCAGTGGGATTGGCGCTTCATCCCAAATGACGACTACGGTAGCTCGAATCATCACCTGGTTCCTGCGTGTTAAATGACACGTTTTATGAGAGAGCAGATACAGTGGCAAGCTGAAGATCATGTGGCACGTCATACCACCAGGCAAAAGAATTGCAGCAGTATCAGTCCACGCAACATTGAAAACATTGTGTACACTTTCACCACGCAATATGTGATGAGCGAAGTGTGCTGGTATGTTTTGTCAGTGCCAGCTACTCCGTCGATGAAACAACAGAGAAACCAGCCAGGCGATATGTCTCGCCGGATATTTTGAAACCGTATGGACCGTTACCGGGATTCTCAATAGCACCGAAGGAAGAATACGCTTTTGCGCTGCCTCATAAACTCGTAAAAGTTGCGCTTGCATTTTCATATTCCCTTATCAACGGTGTTTTGAACTCTAGCGAATCCTCTAATGGGTTCATGTGGAACACCTTCCCATTATGAATACTGTGGCGAAGTTTGCCTTACTCTGCTTCAATATTGTTACGCAGGGAAAGGGGGAGACGAACGACGGAAGGCATGAGAGGTCGAAAGAAGCCAAGGAACGGCCGGGAATAGAACCCGGGCCTCCTGATTGCCGGTCAGGTGTGCTACCACTACACCACTGAACCCGGGACATTCAGTCGTGCCTCTCGATGCCATCCTCATCCGTCACAATATGAACAGCCCGGCAGAGCTCAACAAAACATTCCACACTCATAGAGCCGATCGGCTCCGTGGGTTGACGGCATCACATTGCTCTGTAGTGAAGGTAGGGTAAACAGGGGAGTAGTGGACCACTCCTAAGTTTCTATTCCTATAAGATGCAGCAAAAGCTTCAGTTGCAATCTTCCCAATCAAGAAATATTTGTGGTTACTATATTGTCTCTAAGTTTTTCTAAGGGAAAACTTATGCAAAAACTTAGAGACAATTTAGTAGTAACAAAGAATCCAAGATGTTGCTGGCTTTCTGTTAGCCCTTGAGGGGAACATTACTTCTTAATGCTAACATTAGGGAAGATTGCAACTGAAGCTATTAATGCATCTTACAGAAATAAAACCTTAGGAGTGGTCCACTACTATCTATTTTACCCTATCCCTACGCTGCCTCCAATCAGCTTTTTTCTAGGCATTAATATCCCCACGTTGCCTAATGGTCAGTGCAGACCTACGCTGCCTCGCCGCTTCCGTCCTGCGGGCGCGCTGCATCACATCCTATTAGCTTAACGTATCCCACCTAGCTGATGACCTGGAAAGGCAAAAGCTTGTAGGTCTACCTGCTACACAAACCATGGCGGAGTGACGATTTAGGATTAAGTTCAAAAGCTATTCTTATCGAATCTACGGTTTCTGGAAAGTTAGTAAATGGCCAGATCTCGCTTCACCTTTCAGAGTTTGTTCGTTTTAATTCGTTTAGAAATTCACGAATTGCTTTGTCGGTGGATCCAAACTGTTAAAACTACTTTTGAACTGTTCTCTGAGCTAATTGCATGGCTTGCTTTGGTGTAAAAGTGAAACCACTGCCATACGTTCACGAAAATTCAACATCAATCAACTCCCTGCAACATCAAAATGGCATTATTTTTGCAAAATATGAACTTTTCGGACACCCTGTACAACACAGTAGGAAGGATGCATTACCTACTGTTTACCCCATCCCACAGAGCATATGACCTGGAACGGCAAAGGCTCTTAGGCAGATCGGCTACCAAGTCTATGACTAGAAAATGCAGAAACCTCTGTAGGCCTATCTGCTACACAAACCACGAAACTTCGTAGTGTAATCTAATATAGTAGGTACGGATGGAAAGATATGATCATAATGAGAAACGGAAACTGCGCTAACCCTATCCAGCCCAATTATGCTATATGGCTTCTTGGAAAAATGCTACATATTAAGGCATTGCGTTATGCCTTTGACTCCACTTGGCATCTAGTTAGTCAACCAATCCTTAAACATTTTATTCATATTAATTTGGGCTGGAAAGGGTTAATGGTTTCGGCAAGCATGATGATCGTGAAATGAGATGTTATTAGGGCAGTACCGATGTATCGGCTAACACCGCCAGTGTGGCGCAATTGGCCATCGGCCTTTGGCGTCGGTGCCCAAAGCACGGATCAAAAGAAAAAAAAAGTACGTGAGGGTGTGGACGCGGCTAGGCGTTGGCCATCCTGTCTCACTGGAATCCACTCATGCAGGCTCTCCCAGACAGAAATATAGATTGGATTATGTTCCAGCCGGATGATAGGAACCGGCAGAGGAAAGGAGCGGTAATGTCGGGAAGTTATTGCGTCGCCGCTTACGTTATTCTTTTCCAAGGGATGTTTCACCAATTGCTGTCAACAGCTGTAATGGATAACAAGCTAACCACTGACAGCCTCATTGAGAGACAGACAGGCTGGACAGGACCAAAAGTGGTCTCAATCGTTTCAAGGAGGCCTACTGTTGAATACGAGATGGCCTCTAATTAGGACTATTTGCATTTATAGGCGATTTCTTATATACAGTACCTATAAGTCACAATTGACATCGGCACCGGCCGATGGTTATGAGGAAAATATCGGCCCACCGGCCAAATGTGCCCACCGGTACAGCCCTAGATATTATGTTTGCATTTATGAGATTTTTTCTTGATTTCCCTTAAGTCTCTGCAGATGAAATCGAAACCTGAGGTGCTCCAATGTGAAATGGAGGAAATAATGAAGGATCGTGCGACAAAAGTGGTCTTCCAGGCTGCAGAAACGTATGAAAACGAGTTTGCCATGACAAAGTGGATCCTGCAGGAGATGGGTAAAGGTGATGAAGAGAAAGGGGTATGGAAGTGCCTCATCAACGACGGGACCGGAAACAAATTCTCCTCGATGGCAGGAACTATTTATATCTACATCAAGTTGGGTGATGAATACCTTACTCTCTGGAAAAACTAGTGACTCTTCGCCGAAGTATAAGCTGATGAAGAAGAATTGGAAATTATGACGCTTGCAAGAGTGAAGAGGTTCATGTTACCGAAATGCACTATTTCTGAAGACTAGAATGAAGCACTTTAACTGCTTTTGGACAGGCGATACTGAAGGTGTTAAGGGGCTACTCGATATCTATGAATGCATGCAATTGGTGTTGAAGGTGTGCATTCGTGCGCTTTATAGAAGACTTGCCTAAAATTTTTACCAGAAACCAATTTGTCTAGATATTTTTTTCTTTCAAAAGAGTCCCCAAGCAGCATGTTTGCGTCAATATTACAGAGGGTTGAGAAAAGTTTCCGAAAACAATTTCTCTTAAAACAAAACTACCAATTTTTCAAAATAAGCCACCAAATGCGTTCTAACAACTTTATTTCAGCGGATAACTCCCAACATTTCGTACTACAGTAATTTAATATTATTTGGTTGGACCACCCTCTGTCGTAATCACAGCCTTAATGCGGCGGGGCATGCCGTCAACCTAATTCTTGATCATTTCCTAGGAATTGCCTCCCATACCGCTTTGATACACTCTTCAAGCTCAACAAGGTTGGCTGGATGTTTCTTTCCTTGGCAGATGCTGCACTTAATAATAGTCCACAGGTTTTCTGTTCGGTCGAGGTCCGGACTCTGGGTTGGCCACTCAAGAACTTGCTTGAATTCGCGAGGAATGCTGCCGCGGCCAAATAAAGTACTCGTGATTATGACAACTTGGAAACATAAAAGTGACACTTTTTATAGTTTGGATCACATAATCAGATCCAGAGAGGTTCTGTGCGCTACCCCTGGGATCCCAGCGGGATCTTGCCCTTATCAGCTAATAAGGGTGGAATGGGAGCAGATAAATGAAGAGCTCCGGGATGAAACTAAATCTGTTAATGTTTTCTAATTTTCAATGAAGAAACTCTTGAAAAGCGTTACTTATCAATTGTCAGTCCGCTATGCCCTTCACGGGCATTCCCCTTTAAATTCTCTGCCTTAAATTTGTATCTCAAAGCGTGCCGGTGTAGGAGTTAAATCACTATTATTTCATTTGCATTCACTTCAGACTATGCTGAAAAGTAAATTGAGTTTTGATTATTCTATTTAATTTAAAATTCGAAATTACACTGAAATGGAATTTTAAAAAGTTCCCAATTTACTACCCAAGAAAAAGTCAAATTATGTAAAAAGTAATAAAACATTCCCATGGATCTCTTATTTATTTAAAAAAAATTATGTTCAAGCAGATGAATTTTTGCCACTTCGTGTGTCTATTATTTTCTATATGTTCATACAATCTTATTAATTTTGCTTCCTATACTGCGTTTGCCTTTTTTCACTCGCATAATCTAATGCATTATATTTCCGGTCAGCCAATCATTTTCATCAAGGTGACCTTCTTTAGATAGTGCCTGTTACATGAAAGTTGTACGAGGAAATTTTAGGAGGCAATAATATACTGTATGCCTATGATGCCTGCTCATATGTTAGAATCTACTCTTGGTTGTCTTCAGGTGCTTCCATCTGCCATCATGTCAGGTTCGATCCTAATAACTTTAAAGTCCATCATCATGGATGAATACGTAGATCATTTTCTCAAACAGCTGCAGCAAAACGGGCTCCTAACAATGGATCAAACAAGGATGCTGCCATCAACTATGTTCGATCATGCCCTCAATATAATCTCTTCACAGCCCCAATGGGAAAAAATCCTCAACGATATGCTGACGGAAATGCAGAGGAAAGACATTTGTGATATCCTACACACGGTATGTCATTGGTGCAATGTACTCCTAGGAATTCATGTGCAGAAACAACGAGGAAAAAGGCAGGCATTAGATACTAAACTCCAAATTGGGTCAAATAAGCCAAATATTTTTTTACAGGCATTACTTCCATAGACAAATTTGCTCTTGGAAACTATAGGTGGAGCTATCTGTAAAACAAAAAATAATAATAGAGAATCATGGTTCCGCACAAAAAAAAGCCTACAGTATCTTAGTGCAACCCTATAAGATTTCTATAATAATCATATAATTATTTTATTTTCAAATATCTCACAATCCAATAGAATTTTTCTTTCGTACAGGGTTCCGCGAAAAATATAAGATGAAGATATTGAATTTTGCACAGTTGACCTGCTTTGGGACAGTGAACTCTGATTTAAAAAAAAAACGTCCATTGATGCATGATAAAAATCGGAAAGTTTAAATGAAAATAGTAGTCCATTTGAATCTGATAGATTTGGTACAATTTTCATTTAAAACGAAATAACTAGTCTACTTCAGTAATGTGCATGTCTCTTAGAAGGACCTTTTACCATACATTATTATTTTCTGCAGTGAAGGACATGTTTCTGGCTGTGATCATGAATACGGACGCGTCCCGATATATTTGTTCAAAGAACTTACAACACATGCCAACAATATTGAAATGCTACCAGCATCCTTACTAATTGCAGGTGGAGCTACGGGGTTTAATTCATTCGATGAACACTGAAAAGAGCTCCTTCGGTACAGACAAAATATGATTTCGCCAAGTCCATGCCATAACTGTCGCATGATAAACAATGAGTGTCTTAGTCAATAGAGCCACTGCAATTGGTTACTTCTGCTCTGAATGTTTTCCTGCAATAGCAATAAGTTCATCAGTTAGAAGCGTCATGCCCAAGACACATCTAACATTATGGTTTTGCTTTCCCCTCGCCCCATCTGATTTTTGGTTTTGCCGATGTACCATGCTATGTGCATCACTCATAACCACAACCTCTTCTTTTTTATTCATCTCGGTTGGGCTGAAAGTACTTTCGAGAACAAACTTGCCCAATATATGTAAGTACGACCAGTAACACATTCATTTGATTCAAAGCTGATTTAATCGATAACTCACTCCTAGAATTGGTCCTGTATAATTTACTGTAACGCTACCTGCTGATTTATCAGTGGTAAGTGCTACACTGTACTTTCGCTAATATCCAAGGTTGTTTTCAATATTGCGTCATGTGGGCAAGGGCTAACATCACATGCCAACATTTTCACATCTCAAATTGTGATAACAGGCGGTGTTGGTTCACCTTAATATCCCACAGTCTCACCACGTTTCGTGTAATTCCTTCTCATAAGACTGCGCCCTACCTAATATTTTGCAGGCAGCATCGCTTCAAATGGAGGTGCTGGAGAAGGCTATGGAGATGAAGATGGCGACAGACGCCCTGATAGCCATATACAAGTATCACCAAGGGGCAGATAGAGTCGAAGTCATAATGCGAGACAGATATGGAGGAAAATGGGAGTTGATCTTGACTTTGGATGTGTGGCCCTACAGGCACCATCGGTCCTTTAATCCTGCAATATTCATCTGCATCAAATACCAAGGAATGGTTTTTATTCTTTGGAAACATCTTCAAGATCCCATCCAGTGAATGTCATTGCGCATCCAAGGTCAATGAAGTCGAAGACTCCCGCTCCAGTTGAAGACCACAAAAGTCCCTTTGTTGAATTTAATTTTGCAACAGATGACGCTATTGCTCTTGATATTGAATTCCAAAATGAATAGGCAGAATAGAATCTGGGACATTGTATAATCGCATGGGATATCATATGGGATGAAATAATTATCGTCATTGATTCCCTCTGTCACGATCGTATTCATGTAGTAGCGCGAAAAAAATGTTTCAAGCGTATTCCCCTCAACCTACCCTCCCCATATATTCTCTGAAGTACTAACGTTGACCTTAGACCTGAGCAGGAGATTGTATTCGTCAGACCACAAGCCTGCCTTCTGATCTTCCTTGCTTAATCACGATAACCAACATGCGCCTTCATCAATGCAAATGATAGGGTTTTTGGAAGGGACACCTGTGAAATTGTTGGGGCATCCCCCTTATAGCCCCTCATTAAGCACCGTGTGAATATTTCCTGTTTTCAAAGCTCAAGGAAAAACTACATGGGAGACGATTTGAATCAGTATCAATGGCGATACAGGCATTCCAGGAGCATGTGAAAGCACTCGTTGAAGAATATTGGAAAGAATGTTTTGATACGCCGCTGACGAGAATGAAACTTAGCATAGAGTACAGAGGTGAATATTTTGAATATAAGTTTCTTTTATTTATCAACAAGTAGTTTATTTCCATCTCGAAACTTCCTGAGTGACCCTCGCTATATTATGAGAAATGGGTATCTATAAGGGGTATTGGAAAGTAATTTCGTTTTTTGTAACACAAATGTAAACGTTACTTTTGGCGTGCTTTCCTTTGCTTCTAAATGAATTTTATTTATAGGCTTACAGAACCCTTCTTTGCCATACATATTTCAATGAAAAAACTTTTTCCCAAAATTGTCAGCAAAATTGTCAGGCCACATTCCCGAAGAGATCCATGTACGACATTGTATCCTATACGAGTTTCGTAAGGGAAGTAAGGCAACGGAGGCCAAGAAGAACATTTGTGGTGTTCGTGTAGATGTCCTGGATGTCCGCAAATGCCAGCGTTGGTTCAGAAAATTCCGGTCAGGCGATCTTGACCTCTAGGTTGACCATCGTTCGGAACGATCGGTGAAGCTGGACAACGATCTCCTGAGGTCGGAGATTGAGTCAAACCCCCGTCAAACCATCCAACAATTGGCAGAAAAACTAATTTCTTCGTGATCCAGTGTTCAAGAACACCTTCAACAGATCGGGAAGGTTAATAGACAAGGCGTTTGGGTTCCCCACCAATTCTCAGCTGAAAGCAATCCCCAGCGCACAACAATTTGCAATTCACTGATGACGAGACAAGAGAGAGAACCATTTCTTCATCGAATTGTTACTGGATATGAGAAATTGGTTCTTTGCCACCAAGCGGAAGAACCAATGGCTATCACCTGGCCAGCAGCCGGTTCCGACAGCAAAACCAGGCCTACGCCCACAAAAGTCCTGTTGAGCGTTTGGTGGGACAGTGTCGGTATAATACACTTTGAGGTATTGTAAACGGGTCAGACCGTTACTGCAGACCTCTCTTGTCAACAAATGGACCATTTGCACCAGGCTCTGATTGAGCAACGTCCAGCACTGGTCAACAGAAAAGGGGTAATTCTACAGCACGACAACGCGAGACCACATTCTGCAAAAATGACCCATCAAAAGATCAAAGATTTGGTTTGAGAGGTCTTGCCTCACCAAATATTCACCCGACATTGCCCCAAGAGGTTATCATTTATTCCTATCTCTGAAGCAGTTTCTTAGTGACAAGACTTTCAGAAATATTGATGCTCTCAAAATTGAGGAGTTTTCTGGAAAAAGGGCGTATGTGCCCATACATCCGTATGGACATATACGCCCTTTTTCCAGAGAACTCCTCAATTTTGGGGTGTGGGGTATCACAGGGACCACTTTGCACAATAACATAATAACAATAAATGTACAATAACAAGGGCTGTTAACCGATTGGGAATCACTTAATAGTTTCCAATATAGCCACTCTTGGCACGGATGACAAGTTTCAGACGACCCATAAGAGCGTCGACTGATTTTCGTAAGTCTTCCTGTGGAAGACGCTCCCATTCTCGGTTCAGGGACAGATTGAGAAAATCCAAATAACTGTGTTTTGTAGCACACAATTTGCTCTCCAAGATGGCCCAAATGTAAAAATCTAAGGGGTTTACCACCCATTTCCAAAATGGTTCGGGCAGTCTGATTTTCACTGCCAACTTTTTCTATTTTTCACTTCACAAATAACTGGAGAGTTGTAATCAAAGAACCTTAATACGGTTGACAACGTCGATATGTGGGCTAACTGCTGACCAAAGCAAATCGCGATATTACAAAAATAAAAAGTTATTAACTCTCAAAATAACGCCACAAAATGGTTCGGGCATCGGCACTAAGACCTCGTAACTTCACATCTTAGGGTGACTAGGGCTTCCAGTCAGGCATACTGGAAACGAGATGGGCGCATTGGTATGAAGTGATGGGGTCCCATAATTCCTGCAGGGTTGCCCGTAATCCCTCTATGTTGCTCGATAGTTGTTTTCTGATACCAGACTTCAAAACTACCCAGATAATCTCGATCGGCGACATATCTGGAATGCTGACTGGCCATGGTAGCACCTCCATATGTTGATTTTCGAATCATTTACGAGTTGTCTTTGAAGCATGATGAAGCATATAGAAAATACGCGGCCCATCCTTCGACCTCATTACTAACTTCCCCACCATGCAACAGGCTCAGAAGCCATCCGTGACGTGAACTTCTTGCAATGGGGCCCTACACGTTCCCGTGGGACCAGGGTGTTGTACCCAGAGACTCTATGCAGGATGCCAAAGGAACCATTCTCATCAGTTTACAGCCAGTTTCACACCAACCCATCCTTTGCCCTTTAAAATCAACCCACTTGTGTTGTATTATTGTATCCATACAAGGAGTTATATAGGTTGGAGAGAACTGAGGGAAACTTCGAAAAACTCAAAATTATTTCATCTTAAGAATCTCACAACCCTTTCTTCGGATCCAATGTCTTGACAGCTAAGCCCATATTTTCCAATAGTTACAAACATGAAGACGCCAGTATAACTCATCCTCATCATATACAACATGTCAGGCACGCCATCCAATACCTCCCAATCGCGACCCTCCACACAGTGAATATCTGCCAATAAGGGATCCCGTCCCGTGAGAAGGCGGAACCTCCGAACTGGGGAGGGAGCGGGGATAAAGGCAGAGAGAAAAAGGAGGAAGGGGGGACTAAAAGGGGGACTCAAGAGAGACTCGAGACGAGGGAGAGTGTGGTGGGGAAAGGCAGAGAGTAACATGTTGGGTGGGCCTGGGATGGAGGTTTATAGGGACTTTCGTCATAGGGTCCACTTTCGTAGTTTATAGTTCATTGGGGTAACTTTTCCTTGGGTCCGCGGCCATTCTCTGTGTTCCTTGTGTTGTGTTTGTGTGTTTCCTGTTCTTCCTTTCTTTTCCTTTTGGGTGTTGTTTTCATGGCCTTGGGATCGATTAAGGACGTAGAGAACGGGAACATAAATTCCCCTTTGTTTTGAGAGTGAAAAGGGAGTTTCCTTTCCTGAGTTTGCTGGACCGAACCCAAAAACCTAAGAATCCCGGTCAAGTATTAAGGCTGGGACTATCCTCACTTTAATACGTGACATCTTCCTGGTATGACATCAGGGTGTAGTTCTTCCACCGATGGAACCATGGCATTCCCCCTGATTTCGAAGCATTTCTTGCTGTCAACTGTTCCATTGATGAACAGCAGCTGGCGGACCCCTTCTTTTTTTGCTCGTGCATCCATACACTACACGTACATCCTGTAGACTTCCCAATGATATCTCACTCTTACTTTTCCGCGTTGCAAGTAGCAGCAGTTAGTTTCTAAGTGGCAGCTGACTAACGATAATACCAGAAATTATAAAATCTTCATCGTTCCCAATCAACTTCATGTCGATACCCAAATAATGTGGCATAGCAATGAATGAAGAATGAAGTTCAGGTATACACCATGCCCATAATGATTAAATCATAATAAATGATTAAATCATAATAAATGATTAAATCATAATAAATGATTAAATCATAATAAATGATTAAATCATAATATATCCTGAATGTGAAAGTGCTTACTAACACAAAGCTCTTCCAAAGCTCTCCATATACAGTATATCCCATGTTTTATTCGAACAATATAATTTCGTATTTTCAACTGAACAAATCAGGCATGGTAATTTAATCAGCCTTTCAGTCTTTTTTAGCTTTCCCGTTCTATATTTATAAAATTGCAGGAACTTCTTTTCCGTGAATACATTTGCTGAAGTTCGATTATTAGGTGGCTATTGGGACGAGTATGAGAATCGTACAAGATAACTCGATTTCTTCGTTTTGTCTGGGAATATGCACCGTTCTCCCATTACGCGGAGTGAAAACGATACACATGTTCACATACCTAAGGTCTATATCTCTTTACTTCTTATAGTCCTTTTTTCTTTCAGATACTCATTTTCTTACATTGTATAAGGGCTTCAAACTTAGGTATGATAACGAAGGAATGTTATCAACCTGTTATTTAAAAAAAATGAAGTGAGGTATTATCTGTCACTTCGACGGCAACGGCATTCGTTCTCAGTGGTCCCCCCAAAGAAATGCTGGAGTATCTTGTAACAGGCGTGTGAGGTGAGAGCACAAGAATACTTCAATATCACACCTTCTTGTGCCATTCCACTTTGAACCGTGCCATGGTATCCTATCTCCTCGACCACAAGATAAGGTGAGTTCCCTAATATGGAATCACTGCTTTTCTTTTCCAGGTCAAAAAAGCCGGTTCGGACTACAATCCTACTCTAAGCTATGGACAAATGCGGTAGAACGTCCCTGAACCTCTTGAAGACCATCTTCAAGAACGCCACGGTCGATACAGACATTTTCCTTCATAAGTTGGTGGAAAATGGACTCATTTCTACGGATCAGGAAATGGAACTGAAGTCGAAGGCGACATACGGGGGAAAAGTTGAAGGGATTTTCTCTATGCTTCTCCAAAGCAACCAAGAAACAACCTACAGCCTTCTCATAGAGATTCTGAGGGAAATGAAGAGAGATGAAATCCTAAAACAGGTAAAACATCACTTTCAACTCATTGGAGTTCGTGCACAGAAACGAAGAACAATACCTCTGAGTTAGAATCAAATGAGGGTTGCTCGAAAAGTTGTCAGCGTTGGTTTGTGAAGTGAGCTACATTTGAATCGCTATCAAATTTCTCTTAGCTCTAACTACATCTACATTTGTTGCCTGTCAATTTTGGTATAAATTCAGTCATATCTACACTCAATGTAAACGCCTCACCTCCGTCATGAAAGAATCATTCTCACATGACACTCGGTATTTATTGAATGCATGTATTATTTATTCATTACAAGCACTGTATTTATTACCCTTGGCTGAGTGACTATGCTTTTAATATTAGTGGTCTCAAAACCGCTTTGGTGCACTCCATTCTGCTCTCATCATCCGCGATGATTAGTAGGGAATCTAACTTTTGGAAATGCCCTGGTAGGAAGTACAGCCTCGCCATTTCAAAATGTAATTCTTAAGAATAGTTTGAAAATGCGGAATACTCGAGAAATTAAATTTGCAACATGAATAATAATCTTGGAATGTATACAAGTACATGTAATTATATATAACTGAAATTGATACTATTATGAATTTTCTTCGTGTTAAATTCGAAAACATGAATGAATGTTCACATCCAAACGTGCATCTGATCCATCTCGTGCAGATTGAGATGCCCTGTGGGATGATGACCGCGGCTTTCCAATCGGAGATGGAGAGAAATATGCAAATGCACGCCCTGGCCGTGGCTCAGCTGGGGATGACGACAACCAACTGTACGATTCCTCCTGCTGCTTAGAGTGGAAGGAGGATCTCCTCTACGTTCAATTCCAGATGAATCACAACTCGCTAACGTCATTTCGCATTTCGCAATTCATATTAAAGTTCCATGTGAATACAGACTGACTCTCTTGGCTCATCCAGGAAAATTGCATTGTGATGAATGATAGACAGAATTGCAGGCCACATAAATAAACCCTTGTCAATTGCTTCCGAAGAATGTTGATTAGCAAATGAATTACTACTTCAACGGATACTAGCTTTTCTCATAGAGACCATCTCTCTTAGTCACAGTGAGCTATACCTATTTAACAGTTCCGTCCATAATAAATTATCAGTTGTATCCCATATTGTAATGGATATTTTTACTTCTGTTGTAAGCACACCCAAAATAGCCAATTCCTGGCCCTAATAGGAATGCGTACGAATCAAATACCTCCACTTCAATTGAATATGATTTACACAAAGCTTTGATATTGTGTTGATTAATTAAATTGAGATAGATTGCTACTGCTTTAAAGGCTTATTACCCAATTCATATCTGATAACGATTTCGATTCTAACGCAGTACCACTGCTTTAGAATCGAAATAGTTTTTACGCTTTTAATCGTGATCAAGCTGGATTCCATCTGGAAACCGGTAGTCATCAATTCAGCTGAGAAGCCTTATCAGGGATCCAACCTGTATCCATTTGGATTTTCGGATGCTACATGGCTGGAATGAGTCGGAATTTACTATTTTGGGTAAAGCTGGAATTACCCGAGAAAACTGACTTCAATCCAGGTAATAATAACAAAAACACACTTGGGATTTTATTGGATCATGTGTATCCCATTTCCAGTAGGACTTTCTTGCACTCTTGGGTCCTTGAACTGCAGACTGCTGCCGGATAAATGGAATTTTAAATAGACCATATGCTAGAAGAAGTCTCATGCTGTGTGGAAGAAGGTGGAGCTGCTGCTCGTATCGAACTAGAAAATGCGTCAATTTCTTCTTTTAAAAAAGCAAGAGATGGAGGGAATTTCCGATGTCATTTTTGAAGGTCAAAGAAATGGAGTGATGGTAAATTGCGTAACAATGCGGGTAAACTTTAGTTTTAATTATTTCATCATGAAATATTAGAAATTCACGACGGATTGGTAGAACTAGCTGTTTATTGAAGATTCATCAGAAAGACCTCAGATGGCCTTCTGACCACAAAACGGGAATGACATATTTGTTGGCGAAGAAAGAGTCAATTCTAATCCTGTATTTCCAGACACCTACCCGATAAGGGAATCCCTGAACTTCCCGTAGTGAACCAAGGTTGTTTTCGAGCATGACGCAAGGGTAAAGAAAATGGAAGAGGATGATGGCGGATAAAAACGAGACAGGGTCACACCCCCATTCCCTTGAATCCTGCATATAAACCCTTTGTCTTCCCCCTTTCCCCCGTAATCATACGGCAATCGATACTCCATCGTACGCAACGAGTGAAAATGTCACGACTCTTCGCATTCTTCCTTGCCATTTCAGTGAGTGTCCAAATTTTCTCTAAACTTCGCCCAACTTACTTTTCCTCTAGCGATCGTTTGGTGACAGAACAGTTCGGCCATGCGACAAGGCCATTCCACGAATATGTCACTCTTTTTAATAGTAATCATATTGCAATGTCGAATTCCGTGGTATTTAGTGGACTTTAATGGCAACCTGCATTACCATAACCTCCGTTACTTGTTGCTATAAGGGAAAGCGATGCGAGTCTTCAAATATATTAAAATCATGCATAATCACAATCATATTCATATTGCATGTACATAGAGTTCCCTAGGGCTGGTGGAAGGTCTCCAGGAAATAGACTGGCCAAAGTTCTCATCACCGGGCACTGCTCTTGTTCTTTTGCAAAAGCATTTAGGGAACTGCTCCCAAGTGAAATTTACAATCCTTTCCCTACTCAAAGGTTACTGCTACTAAAAGCCAATAGGAAGAAACAGATATTATGGCGATTACACAAGTAAAGTACCTAGTACAATAAATGAGGACATGATAACAAACATACGAGTAAAACGAAAGACATAAACTCCGAGAATGAAAAGTGCAGGTATTACGGTTTTATTATTCTCAATTTCTTCTAAAAGAATCTCGCAGTTGCCTCGCCTAATGCCCCTCTCCCGGGCACGAGAAGATCCACGGTCTCATTCCTTCTTTCACAAGATCTAGTACTGAGCAGTTGGAGTACGGCATACGTTTTCTTTTACGTCCGAAAATCCGAAATGTATCCCTTTTTAGACCAATTGTGTGGTACTACCAGTTTTTCTAGAAGCGCACTAAGCTTGAGAATTTCCATATACGAACTTAGTAGTGTTCACAAATGGGCTGGTGTTATCTTTGGTCTGAAAACAACCTGATTATGTATGGTTGCGATTTTTTTTAATGATGAAGATGAGCGGAATGGTGTGTCGCATGGTTGAGGGACATTCCATGCATTTATCACGCGAGAACTCAATAGGGAGAGGTTTCACTGCAGAGGACATAGATGCTTTCCAGGCTTGCTACAAGGTATGTCACTGCACTTCTTTCTTTGCAATAATCTAGCTATGTGCGTCCATGTTCTAGGTTAATCCTCCACCTCTGACAGTTGTGGTCATTACCTAGCATTCCAGGCAGAAGCTAGGCTTCGAAGTATATTCCTTTTTAAATTTTAGATTCGCACTGACTCAACGAATCCTACTAAGTCTATCTGCCCTTGGTCCTTCGGGCTCTCATCTCGATTTTCTGTTCCTCCCACGACAAACTTCATGGCTTTAATTCTAACTTCAGTCCCTTAGTCATTGGTCTGAGGTGCAGGAACCACTCTCTTTTCATTTCTTGCCACTTTGATGGAAGGAGTGGGGAAATGAAAAAGTAAACTGCGGGAAAGGCCTCAACCTTTGCAATGTAAAAGCACGTAAATAAAAAGACAAAAACATGTAAGCACACATTATTTTCAGATAGGAGCATTTACCACGACTGGAGTGGTTTCCCCGACTCATCAACTCTGCGACTCATGTCTCCTTCATAGTGTTTTTGTGATGTTTATTCCATACAACCCCTTTTAGTTGCTTTTGGGGCCCTGCATACTTTCTATTCGCTTGATCCTTACCCATGAAATGAACCTTGTTCATATGTGTCAGTTGCTTTTGTGGTCACGTTTCTCCGATGTATCTTCTCCATTATCACATCACATAAGCACATTATCATCATTCCATCTACTCCACAAGTCCTATTCAGAATCTTCAGAATTTCATTTATAACCAGTATATAGGGTCACGTTAGTACTATTCTGAAATATGAAGGAATTAATGTTTTTCTTTCAAATTTCACTCTCCTTCAATCGCGCATTCAAGGAATGGAGAACAAAAAACACTGGGCGAAATTCAACATCAATAATTTCAGCAAATTTAATGTTGACACTTTGCATCCCGAACATTTTACCCCGTCGATCCGCCTCTCTGACCTAAGCTTCAGTTGCCTTAGCCTATAGCTCGATGACTACAAGGCTGCGACTTTTTCGGCAATAGACTAAGCAAAAGGACGCGCGAAAGGACTCAAAACGGAAATCTCAGTGAGCGGTACGCAAAGTGTTGAATATCTTTTGATCTCTTGGCACGGATAAGCGCATACGAATATGCTTTTCCGCCTGTAACCACAGAGAGTACAGCAACCTAAGTGGGTACCGGGTTCTGAGGGATCCATTCAAACGTTCCTGAAGGATGTTGTTCAATGTTACGAAGTTCTTGGGGAAGGGGACTCTCGAATCAAGTCATGCATCCCCCACCTCAAAGTGAGTCGTCCTCTCTTTATTCACCTTTTTTGCAACTACCTCCCTTTTTTAAAATCAGAGTTTCTCTTTGATTTGAATCACAGGAAGCTGCAGCTAAGGGCAACATACAGGAAATGATCGACAAAGTAGCAGTCTTCAGTGATTGCCTCATAGAGAAGTTTCCTTCTAAGTAATTCATCTACCGTCTGGCTCACCCATAGCAGTTTGAGATGTGAATAAAAAGAGATGAGAGCCGATAGATGCGTCAATTCTTTATTGGCCGACTTCCCTCATCTGTGGCGAGTTTTACGTTTTGTACTCTTAGAAAAGAGTGAACGATTTCTTCGAAACGGAGCGAAACTGGATTTAGCGATTTTACCCTCTAAACACAAGGAAGTAATCCCGATCACCTCTCGCTTTCCTGAAAATAACCACAAACTTTTCCTAATAGTTTGAAAAGCACTCTCCATCCTTCGTTTCGCGCTCTTAAAAAGTGATTGATTCTGCTCTCATGAAGGAGTAGTCATCGATTGTACTTTCTAGTTTTTAGGGAATAAAATCGCTCACTC